AGAGACATGGTTAAGGACACAAGAGCAAGCTATTTCACTGCTTAGGAAAGATAAGAAGAGACCACTCTGGCTTAAGCAGGAAATCCTGAATTATCTAAAAATCAAAAAGGAGTCTCATAGAAAGTGGAAACTAGGTTATAGCACAAAGGTTTAATACAAACAAACCACACAGGAATGCAGGGGCAAGATTAGGAAGGCAAAGGCACAAAACGAGCTCAATCTAGCTAGAGACATAAAGGGTAACAAGAAGATGTTCTACAAATATATTGGAAGCAAGAGGAAGACCAAGGACGGGGAAGGCCCATTGCTCAGTAAAGAGGGGAGGGAGACAATAACAGAAAATGTGGAAATGGCAAAGGTGCTTATTGCTTTCCCTGTTCAGTTTTTACCAAGAAGGGGAGTGGTAATTGGATGCATTGCAAAGAAAAGGGGTAGGTTCCAAACTTGAAGTAGGAAACGAATGAGTTACAATTACCTAGACAAGTAATAGGTGTGCTAGATGTTTCTTTAGGAGAAATTCATTGCTCAGCCGTGTTAGGGGGCTGCAGCAGCTCTGGAGGTGAACAGGAAGCAAAGCCCCACTCTGATGCCCAACAAAGGGACCCGGCTGTAATCAAGGTGGCTTTACCTCTGCTGCAGCTTGCACATAATCAGTCTCATCCCTGGAAACTGCAACAGTGTCATTCCGTTGTGCAGACAGGATCAGGGGAACCGCAGGCCCCGGGTCTGCATCCAGCCCCCAGCTTGCCCGGATCCATCCCCTGAGGCTCAGAAATGGGGAGCCCATACACTGGCTCTCCAGCCCTGCTACCACCCACCCACAGAGCGGATCACACAAAATCTACCAGCCTGGGCCTGGCAAAGCTCTGGTGTGTGAGGCGAATGGGGGGAGGGTCTTTCTGCTTCTCAGTCTGGGGGGCTCTCTTGTGTGCGGCCCCTGAATGATTGTTCTGTGGGTCAGCAGCCCCCAACCCGAAAAGGTCCCTGCCCCTGTAAAGCTCTGTGCTTCATTAGCACTGCACTGATGCACCCTGCCTGGTAATAAGTGCTGCCTGAAGTGGCAGTGAGAGATCTATGCTCCTCTCTCTTTTGAGATATTTCTGTCTCTCAACTAGCAGACTTACCAGCGTGGCCTGGGCCCTTCAGGCCGGGGGCTGGCAATGCGGGAGGCTGCAGGCCTGGGGGCAGGGCCTTGGGGATGTGGGGAGGAGTGCAGGAAGTGGGGGCAGGGATGTGGGCAAGAGGGAGGGTTCAGCATGAGAAGAGGCTAAGGGCAGGAGGTCCCACGCATCAAGGGCCTTTTCTCTCATCCCTTCTGCCAGGGCCCTTCCCCCCCCCCCCCCCCCACCCCCTCACCACGGGGAAAACACACACACACACACACACACACACACACACCCTGGTCCCCACTCAGGCCCCTTACTGGTCCAATGGGGTTATAGCTGTCCCATCCCCTACTCTGGCCCTTTGCTGACCCCCTTTGGTCATTCTATAGTATAACTGTCCCTCCTACCAAACCCCTCCCTTTCCATTTTATGAGAAACTATCAAATTCCAGGCACATCCCATTGTCCCGCAACAACCAACATCTTACTTCGCTAGAAGTTATGACAAAAAGAAGCTGCATACCAAATCTGGTGACCCTAGCGCTTACCGTTAAGGAGGAGTTCTTGAACAAAGGGACTCCCAGACAGACACACTGAGAGACGCACCCTAAAATATATCGACTGCGGGGCTTCTCCGGATTGACTCACCACAGACTGAATGTGAACCACAGGGGCTAAAAGTACGAGCTGCTACAGTTGGAGCTAAGGAGCTGAGATTCCATAGCTGGGCTCTGCAATAAACTCCTGTCCTTTGTCAATGGACACAGAGGGGCACTTCCAACACACTCACCAGTGGGTCACAGCTGCACCAGCCTTTCTCTTTCCTCGTGGTTTCTAAGCCAGTGCAACTTGCTGCCTCACCTGGCATAAGGAGGGACAAGGATGGGGCGGCTGGACAGGGATGGCCGGAGAAATCCACAGGGGAGGGTGAGGAGCAGCACATAGTGATGCCAGCAAGAATGATACATGGTAGGCAGCTGGGTGTGAGATCCCTGCTCACCCATGACCTCTGCTGGCAAGTAGTGTTCCACTTTACCTTGGAGTTCCCCATCTGCACAGGTGATGCCTTTGGGAGGGGGGCTGTGGAGTTTGTGTGCGCACCCAGATTTGCTGTTTGGCTTGTAGTATGGATGCTCCATAACCCTGCCAAAGCCAGCTGCTCTCACTCTGCCCCCCTCCCTCCCCAGCTAGTGATAGGCACAGGTCAGCTCTGCCAGTCTGTTCCCATCTGTTTCTTGTTTTATACTTCCCCTGACAGCTCTATGGGGCAGGGCCATCTTGTGGCTCTGTGTTTGTACAGCACCTAGCACAGCAGGGCCCTGATCCATAATTGGGCCCCCTGCATGACACAATACAAATAATAATGGCGTTAAAAGAGAAACTCCAGCTGCCCATAAAACACTTTGGCTCGCTCCTCTGAGCTCCAGTACGATGCACTTGATGCAACATCCTCCTCACAAATTTACATGGGAGTGTGATGCACCAACCTCAGGCGGTCGGGAGGGCCTGATGTCTGTACTTAAAGAGCCGTGCTTGAGTCTGCTCTGTGAAGAGGTTAGATTAACACGTGTTATTTTCTGCAGGTGAGACACCAAGAAAAGCATTTGGAGACTGAACTACAGCTGTGTCGGAAGATACAACTGAGACACTGGCTCTGTGCCCCCTGGAGACGCCTTAGGACTGCTGCAGGGACTCCCTCATCCCAAGTACTGGTCCTAGCTCCTGAATTTGGGAGGGGAAGCCTGATGAAATGATTACAGGCCTGTGAAATAGTTCAGGACAGTGATACAGTGAACCTCAGTGATGGTAAATGTTAGGCTGCCTGCGTGTTCATGGCACCCTCTGTATATCATAGCAGCCCTACGCAGGTAGCTAGCATACCAGATTTCAAAGACCACAGACTCAGATAAGATATGAAGGCACTTGAGCCAGGTTTATTGTCGAACAAAGTACATTAGTAGTTGTTAGTAGCCAGCTGGCCTCTGAGCCCCTGTGTGTTTGTACTCATGACAATGGACCAGCTCAGTCAATAGTATGGATTTCACTATTGGCCCCTAGGCCGGCCAAAGAGTTAAGCTGAGAGACAGCAACTTGCAGGCAAACAACTGCTTCTGACAAGGCCTGCGTGTTACTCACAGTATAACTCTTGCTGACTTTGGTTCAGACCACAGGCCTTACACCAGGACCATGCTCCAAGCTCTTTCTTTCTCCTACAGCCTGGTAGCCAGGCCGCATGCTATATAATTTTTTAAAATAGTTCGCATTAAAGAAACATTTGTAAGCTAGGTCTCAATTGTAAAAGGGCTGAGCCAAGTGACTTTTTTGAAGGTTATTGGATTGATCCAAAATCCCACTGAAAATCAGCGTCAGAGCAGTGATGAGACTGGAGGGGAGATGGTACAATGAGCCAGAGGCCAAGGGGGCCAGGCAGGAGCCAGGAGAAGGGGAGGAGATGAGACATGATCCAGAAGGGGAAAGGAAAGGAACTAGAAGCTGTGGGGAGGCACTGTCACAGTGACAGGCTGCAGACAGGGACCAGGGCAGAAGCGGGGGGACGGGGACAATGGGAGAAGGGCCCAAAGTCTTTGGTGTCCTTACTCCTGAGTGTTACAGCAGATAGCTTCCCAGCAGGGGGTGCTGCAGTGTGATGACGTGTAGGAGCTTACAGAACCCTACATTCAAGGAAGTGCCTGGGGAAAATGAACATAGAGGCTACATCTATACTGCAGGGCTGTGTCTAGACTGGCAAGTTTTTGGAAAAACTTGCCAGATGTCTACACTGGCTGCTTGAATTTCCGGAAAAGCACTGATGATCTCATGTAAGATCGTCAGTGCTTTTCCGGAAATACCATGCTGCTCCCGTTTCGGCAAAAGTCTTTTTCCGAAAGTCTTTTGCGCAAAAGAGCCAGTGTAAACAGCACAGTAGTGTTTTCCGCAAAAAAGCCCCGATCACGAAAATGGCAATTGGGGCTTTTTTTGCGGAAAACCGTGTCTAGATTGGCCACGGACGCTTTTCCGCAAAAAGTTCTTTTGCAGAAAAGCATCCTACCAATTTAGACGTGCTTTTCTGAAAATGCATTTCCAGAAAATCATGCCAGTGTAGACGTGGCCTAGGGGGTTTGTGAAAGAAGCCATTAGCAGAAGAGTTCTTGCGCAAAAACTTCTTGTGCAAGAGCATGTTCACACCTCAAAGCGCATCGCAAAGTCAATGTGCTTTTGTGCAAGAGCACGACGCTTTTGTGCAAGGAAGCTCTGACGGCCATTCACAGAGCACCTGTGCTTTTTCCCATAGGGGTTTCTTGCATAAGAAACCCCTCTGGAGCATCCACACTTGCCTTCTTGTGCAATAGCTGTAGCACAAAAGGGAATTATGCCTCGTAGAAGGAGGTTTACCTTCTCCGGAAAAAGCCCTCTGTCCTGCCATTTTTCTGTCGATTTACTGCTTTTTCGAAACATCTTCTTGTTGTCTAGTTGCTCTTTTTCGAAAGAGGCTTTTTAAAAGATACTTCTGAAAAAGCCTCTTTCGAGAGAGGCGTGCAGTCTAGACGTAGCCGGAGTGTGTCAGAGTGTATAAACGCAAGGTGGCTGAAGTAAGGTTGCCATGGAAACCGTAATTATGGACTTTCCTTACTTTTGACTGTTTGGTTTTGTAACCTTCATGTTCTTCATGTGAATTGTTTATATCATTTAAGTGTATAGGTACTGTACGGGATAAGTGCAACCTATTAGATACTTTGGGAACCCCAGGAGTGATAAGTGCATTTATGAGTAACACTCTCGTTATCAATAACTAAAACTGCCTGAGGCAGGCTGCAGTACAAACGTCATGGTCTATTCCATTATCTCAGACTTTTAAATGAACGTTAATCTATTTTTATTCTCACACACAGAGAAAATGAGTGCAATATATTTCCAGTTGAGAAACTATCTTCTGGGACAGTCCAGCACTCTCCTGATTGGGGGAGTCCGACATGACCGTGTGCAGCTCACGCTGAAACCGGCAGCCTATGGCAGGGCTGAGATATGCGGCTACCGGGCAGAGTACAGACTTGTCGGGCAGGAGAACTGGGTGGCTGTGAATGTCAGTAACACACAAGAGACACTCACAGTCACAGGGCTCCGTCCAAACACCCAGTACCAGTTCCGATACGCGGCCGTGAGCAAACCAGGGCTCAGCGAGAGCAGCGACGTGAGCGACACAGTGAAGACGCTTCCAACCAGCCCCCCAGGGAAACCTGTAGCAGTGACTGTAGAATTATCGGCCATCGCCCTGAGCTGGGAGAGTCCACGTGTCATTGGAGATGGAGTCAGTATAAGCGAGTACAAGGTGCAATACAGAGAGGCGGCTGGAGAAGACAAATGGCTGGAGCGAAGGACGGGACAGAGAACCAAGTCCTGCACCATTGATGGCCTGAGGCCTCAGACGCCCTACAGATTCCGGGTGTCGGCCGTGTGTGCGGACGGGGCTGTGAGTGACCCAGGGGAGGAGGTCTCAATTACAACAGCAGGCGAGGAATTAAAGACACTAGCACAAGATTTCTACAAGAAGAGCACTCAGATAGAAGAAGGGCAACCCTCAGTGTATGCACTGCCCATAGTGTTTGATTCTAATGCAGCACACCCAAAGTACAGGCTGGGGAGGGAGACCCTGCAGATCCCTAACAAAGTGATTATGGTGATGGGAGCTACCGGGTCGGGGAAAACGACTCTCATCAACGGGATGATCAACTACGTCCTGGGTGTGCAATGGAAGGATGAATTCAGGTTCAAGCTCATCCATGAGACCACAAACAGAAGCCAGGCTGAGAGCCAGACATCCGAGGTGACGGCCTATGAAGTTAATCACACAAAGGGCTTCCAAGTCCCCTACTCTCTGACTATAATAGACACGCCGGGATTTGGTGACACCAGAGGGATAGATCATGACAAAGAGATAATAAGGAAAGTCCGAGAGTTCTTCTCCACCCCAGGGGCCATTGATCACATCGACGCCGTCTGCGTTGTGGTTCAGGCCTCCCTAGCTCGTCTGACCCACGCCCAGAAGTACGTGTTTGACTCAGTGCTCTCCATTTTCGGGAAGGACATAAAAGACAACATCCTAATCCTGGTCACCTTCGCCGATGGGCAGCCCCCCCCTGTGCTAGAGGCCATTAAAACAGCTGATGTCCCTTGTGCTAAGGATGCTCAGGGCAACCCTGTGTATTTCAAATTCAATAATTCCGTCCTCTTTGCCTGTGTTAGAGACCATTAAAAGAGCTGATGTCCCTTGTGCTAAAGATGCTCAGGGCAACCCTGTGTATTTCAAATTCAATAATTCCGCGCTCTTCTCCTGTAACGCTGCAGCTGACGAGGGCGGTTGTAATTTTGATGAAATGTTTTGGAAAATGGGAGCCAGGAGCATGCAGACATGTTTTGAATCTCTAGGAAATTTAGAAACAAAAAGCTTAACATTAACACAGGAAGTTCTCAGGGAGCGGAAGGAGCTGGAGGTGGCCGTGGAAGGGCTGCAGCCACAAATCAAAGCCGGCCTGATGAAGCTGGAAGAACTGCGCAAGACACAGGAAGCTTTGGAGCGACATAAGGATGAAATGGAGGCCAATAGAAACTTTGAGTATGAGGTGGAGAAAACAGTGCCGGTGCAAACAGACATCTCTGGTAAAGGCTATTACCTAACTAATTGCCAGCAGTGTCACTATACATGTCATTATCCCTGTATAATGCCTAATGATATTGATAAGCACGGGTGTGCAGCTATAGACAGGAAAACAGGACGTTGCACGGTGTGCCCTGGGAAATGTGACTGGACTGTTCATTTCAATCAAAAGTACAAGTGGGAATATGAAGTAGTGAAAGAGAAACAGACCTATGCACAACTGAAGGAGAAGTACGAGAAGGCGTCTGGGGAGATGCTGTCCACACAGGGCGTGGCTGAGAACCTGTCTCAGGAATACGCTGAAGTGGAAGAGATATTAATGCAGCTTATTGATAAAACATCCCGCAGCCTCCAACGTCTGCAAGAAATCGCTCTGAAACCCAACCCGCTGTCCACTCCGGAATACATTGACCTGCTGATCATGTCGGAGCAACAGGAACTGAAGCCTGGGTACCAGGAAAGAATAAAATCACTGCGGGAAGTGAGGGAAGTAGCAGAGATCATCAGAAAGATTGTGAATAAGAAGCCCCTGCTGCCAGGAGAGGAGGATATGAAAAAGAAGCTTGAAGAAAAACAGTCATTTACAAAAAGTGAGAAGGGAAAACAGGATATAGTGCAAAGCTGGTTTCAATATGGAAATGTCTCAGATCAGGGTTAGAAACCCACCTTCTGTCACCGTAAGTGCTCTCTCTACACTACAGTGGTAGGTCCAAGTAAGATACGCAACTCCAGCTGCATAAATTGCATAGCTGGAGCCCATGTATCTTACAACATGTGTCCATGCCATCCACACAGCGGGAGGCAGGTGTAACAAACTCTCTTGTAGGCCTTGCGAGGAGCAGGAGGGGGAGCTCTGAGTTTGATACCGTGGGAAAATTGACAGGGACAGCATCAATCTTCCATGTAGTGTACACGAGCCCGCTGGTAAGTCTATGTATTGGAGCTGCACCAATGTGGGTGCAAGTGCTAGGGGGAAGCACCCTTTTCTTTTTTAAAACCCAAGTGCTCTCATTATGCACAGTTTATGTGGGCTGTAAAAAAGAAGGCAAGACATAAATTGTCCCAGTCCCAAGGAATGCCACGCAAATACCAGCTCTTCTCTCACTGGCATAAATCAGAGGGTATGTCTAGACTACAGGCTTTTGTCGACAGAGGCTTTGTCGACAGATACTGTTGACAAAGCTTCTGTCGACAAAGAGCGTCTAGACGACATCCAGTTCTGTCAACAAAGAAAGCCGCTTTGTCAACATGAGAGTGTAGACGCAACGGACAGTGTAGATGCAATAACTCCTTCTGTCGACAGAACTCTGTCAACAAAAGACGTTATTACTCGTAGAATGAGGTTTATCACAGTTGACAAAACTGCTGAGTTCTGTCGACGTTATGTCAACAGAACCCGGCGGTAGTGTAGACGTAGGTATAGTTTTGTTGAGCAAAGTCAAGAAAACCCTGTAGTCTAGACACATCCAGAGAGACTCAGCCGACGTCAATGGAGTTGCACCTAAGTGAATCTATTACAAGAGGAGAATAAGGCTTCTCTCTCTCTCTAGCCATCTCGTACACCACACCTCTCTCTATCTACACAATCCAGTGGTGGTACAGATTTACCATTTCTCAGAATGGCCCATCAGACCGTGTGTGGAGGCTGTGCGCCAACAGCAGCAGCAGCATTGTCTTTCTTCGCTCTGCGTGTGTGCATTTGTCTTGTGTTGTCTTTAAAGATGCAGAACTGGACTCCAACCTGGGGCACAACTAGAGGTTTGGGAGAGGGGGCAGGCAAGATATGACTTTGGGCCCTTCTCTCCTCTCTTGGCTCATGTCTTGAGCATTAATGCTTAGGTAACATTGAATATTTTACCCCATCTTCTCAGTGTATTAAAGAGCCATTAAATAAAGGCATCATGTGAATTGTGCCTACTATTTCATATAAAGACTGGTTGAAAGCACATTACGTTTCTTACAGGTACTGTCATATTACACCCTGCTCCGGGGCACACTCAGGGAAGAGGGTTGGGTGGATGCAACGTGACAGTACCTGCAAGAAATTTAAATCTGGAGGGCAAAGGGCAGATGGCTTGAACTGGGTAGGGGGCTCAGGACAGGGAGAATTGGGGGACAGTTTCAGGAATAAGGACAGGGGAAGCAGAGTCAGAGAAAGGGGAACCGGGGCAGGGCACTGGGGTGGGGTGATCAAGGCAGGGAGCTGATGGTGAGGGGGGCTCGGGGCAGGGAGGTTTGGGGGGT